CATGTTTTAACTCTAACACAAATTTATCATTTAGAAATTCATAAAAAAATCTTTACCGATAAATTAATGGAAATTTTACGTTTATTACCTGGAGTTACTACATTAAAAATTTATTCTTTATCAGTTTTACAACAAGGAGATTTATCAGATGATGAAATTGAATTTCTTTGTATTCTATTACCTAAAAATCAAATTAAAAAAATTTGTTTTGATCATATGAAAAACATGAATGAACTTTATATGTTATCTTTAATTTGTTCTCATGTTAATCATCTTCAAATAAAGTGTATTAAATATATGCATACTGAATTATTAACAGGACTTATTTTAACACAAATTAAGAGTGTATCCAATTCTTTACTTCGATTATTATGTTTTTCTATTCCAAAAGCACATGATGAAATGATTGAAAAATTAGAAAAAATGATTGATCGTGAAAATTTACGTTTTGATTTTACGATTAAACATGTTATGGATAAAATTTATTTACAATGGAAATAACTAGTAGATCATGTGTTGTAACTACTCTTGTTTGAAATTGTTTAATAAAAACTTTTAGAACTTCATACTCAAATGTTCATTATCAGATTTCATTCTTTCTTCTAAATCAGATATTTGTATTCATTTTTAATATGTCGATAAGTTAGATTAAAATTTTATCGAATGAGTTTGTCTATGAGGTATTTGAATATCTTGATGTTTGTAAAATATGTAAAGTATTTTCAAATCTTAATCATCGATTTCAACAACTAATGGACTATATACGAATATCTTATACACTTGAAATTTTTGTTTAAGTTTGATGAATTTGAGATGTTTATTATAGAAATGAAATGTAATTTGAAAGTTTTATGTGTTATTACTATCTTTGAAAATAAAGATTATCTTGATGGTGATCGATGGGAAAGATTAATTTCAGATTATTTGCCTGAAGTAGAAAAATTTTATTTAGAATATTATCAACAAATCGATCCCGAATCTAGATATCTAACAGATTTTTAACCTCTTGATCAATTTAATTTCTTACTTTAGTTTGAATGCAAATGGATATTCGAAATTGAAATGCATTCTTTTGATGGATGTGGGTGTGGGTATTCTATTTTCAAGCTACATCCACACCTTCAATGCGTGGTTACCAACACAGTAATGGACAATCGAATCAGTCGAAGCGTAAATGGTTTCTGTTTAGGGAGGAATGTTTCACTCTACGTAAAGTCATATATATCAAGGAGAAATCGAAAGAAAGAATAATTCATTTCTTCTGGTATAAGTGGATTCAAGTAACACGGCTATCGTTATTTTAAAAAAGTATTTCTCGTTGACTTTGTTGGAGATAAATCATTTCTGCTTGAAACTGAATAATTTCCCTGTTTTGACGGTACTCTATCCAGCTCTCTTGAATGAACATCGTTCTTAATATTTCTCAATAGGGTTTTTTTACGTATTTCATAGATGTCTCATGTACAGTTGTTTTTTCAAGCGTTTTGTCGGAGATTTTCTTTTTCAAAAAGTTAAAAATCATTTTGAAATAAGGTCTACAAAAGAATTAATTCTCGGAAATATTTTTCATTTGTATTAATTTTCATCAGATTTCAACAACAACTCGTACTCCAGTTAATCATCAACAATTATCTAAGTCGAACATTTGCGATGCTAAAAAGGGAATACTTAAGGTAATATATGTGTTTCTGTTGTTGATTTGATCGACATGTAAATTGAAAACGATCTCGTTTGATCATGTTACTATTCATGCTATCGAGAGAGAAATTCATTTACAGATATCGATCAATTGAAAAATCATTTTATTTAACAACTGACCAGTGAGAAATATTCATGCAAAAATGACGATATTTTTTTTTTATTCTAAATAATCTAGTTAAATTTTTTGATGCAAATTACTGTTTTCGGAAATAATTCAATTATTTAATTTGTAATCAGATTTACATTCGAAATCGATTAAAATCTTAATGTCATCAAAGCTGATTTAGAGATCGTCAAATGAGTATATCATAAATAATTTAATGTTCAAGTTTTGCCTATAAAGATCTCAGCAAAAAGATTTAGCACACTGACATAGGGTATACAATGATGGAAAATAGAGATTAAATGCACTTATGCAGACAAATTGCTTGTTTACATTCATCTTAACTGAACGTCTTGTTAGTGCTTTGATCGGATTGGTGAATTTAGGTGGAATAAAGACAAAATGATTACTGTGGACTATAAAAGCAACCTCAGTGTTCAGTTTGTTTTGTAATCAGGGGCGGCGCGAAGAGGTCAAAGCAGGGGGGGGGTACCTTCGAAAAATCGGAGAAAATCTGAGGAAGAAATGTTCTGGGGGGGGGGGGGTACTTTCGAAAAATGGGAGAAAATGTGAAAAAAACTCAAATTTTGAGGTATTGTTGAGCAAAAAAAACGAAAATTTTCAAAAGCAGGAGGGGGGTACCCCCCCCACCCCCCCCCGCTCGCGCCGCCCCTGTTTGTAATGATATAAGAATTGCAGATAGAGAGAGAGATGGATTATTCAATAATTACTCGATTAGAAGATTTACCTGTGGAAGTTTTAATGGAAACATTTGTTTATTTTACGGCTGGTGAGATTTATTTGTCATTCTCTCAATTAAATAATCGTCTTAATTTAATTCTCAAATCATTACCCAACTTGGTCCTTGTAATACACGAACATTTAGATCCTTCTGTTCTTTCTTTCTTCTCCTCATTTAATAAAATTCTCGTCAAGTTTCATAGACGATATATGCATTGTAATTGTCAATCTCATCCTATAAACGGTGGTAATCGTTTATATGAAATTTACCCGACATGGGATGACGGATGGTTTCCTGATTATTCTAATGAAATTGAAAAAATTATTCGTCCTAATATTTATTCTCGATTGCAATCATTAGTTTTACCAGCTGCATCACCTAAATTAACACAACTCATATTTCGTGGTGAATTTTCTCGTTTGAAAATATGTCATCTTGGTAGATGCGAACCAATTATTCTTCCATTATCGATGACTATTCAACAGCTAAATTTTCGTCAATTAACCGTACGAGAACAAAATGGTCATGAATTAGAAAGAATTTTATTGGCCTGTTCTTCTTTAGTATATCTTGATTTCTTATGTCATGATATTATTCCTCCATTTGTTATCAGAAACCGTAGTTTTCCATCTATGAAATATCTTCGACTTGGTCGACTTCAAAAATTTTTTTTTCACAATGGAGAATTCGATTTTCTTCTCTCAATCTTTCCAAATCTTTTACAATTTCATTTAACTGCTGTTCAATGTCATGAAAATGTTGAAACCATCCAATTTAGAGAAGTTGCGCATTATTTAAGTCATCGATGTCCATTACTGAAAATATTATTTTTATGTATTTATATGGAAGGACATATGGGTTGGTTTTTTTCTATCGATAGTTTCAGGGAAATTACCGAGATACATTCTCTTTTCAATTATGTCAATAGATATCAAACGCGTCTAATAATAAGTTCACATGGCTTTATTCATCATCAAGTTTACTCATATGGATATGCTCGTTCTTCATGTAGATGATCATATTCAAATGGTAGATATCTATATTTGGCTTATCCATTTTTGACTATTTCATTTACATGTCATTCGTATGTATTCTTTTCTGATTCTATTAAAATAGAGAACTAGATATTTCTTAAAGTTTGGAACCTTTATCTTATCTAAACACTTTATAAATAAATATAATTTAATAAAAACTTCTATGAAATAGAGATTATAATTAATCGAATTTCTTACTGATCGAAGTATTGACATGTAATTCATATCTTCTTAAATGTCGATCAGACTTTAATTGTTGATAAAAATAAAAAGTTTATCGAATAAATATGTTAATCATATTTCAAGAAAATAACAAAATCTCATAAAACCGAAAAATTGTTCCATTCTCAGCAGTAATGCTTCACTCTATACAAAGTCAAGAAGAAATACTTTTATTAAAACAACATCAATCATTATTTCAAGCCATTTACCTCCAGAAGGAATGAGTTATTCAAAGAAGAAATGCTTCATCTATTTCTACCTTCATAAGTTGGAATCTAAAGCACATAGAGAAATATCAATCATTTAGTAAAAATATCAAACATTTCTTTGTTCGTATTTCTTCATTTAAGACAAATACCATAAATAAAAAAAGAATCTTTTATAGAAAAGTGATTAATGAATAATATAGAAATTCATCTATTTATAATGTATATAGAAAGTAAAGAGATGATGAATAGGTATTCAATCATTATTCACCACAGTTAATAAACGAACAATCAACACAATGGTTAGATATTCATCCGTTAGAACTATGTCATTTTTGATAACAACTACGAAAATTTTAATAAGTGACTATGTGATTATATTTATATGCAAGTACATGATTAATTTTCAAAAAGATTTGTGCTTTTTATAACGGGTGGTCCAGAATAAATGGCGGTGTCAGTGTTTTGCCAATATCTCATCTAGTTCTCAGTATTTCGAAATTGATTTTTTTACCAAAAGATTCGCCTTTCAATTCTCTACAAAATTATATATTTCTATTAATAAAAGCATACTCCGTAGTTTACTGGTACTCAATACAAAAGATTAGTTCAATATGTTGAACTTTTCAACTAAGGCTTTTTGCAAAATATTAATACTATACTTTTTAATTATTAAAGTAATGTTGTTTTCTACTTTAACTTATTTCTGTTTGTTATTTGACAATTTTCGTTGCAAATGGAACAGTCGAACTAATTTCTGCGTTAATTGTTCGAAGCTCGATGCGTTTCATAAAAAAAAACACAAATACTCAGAAACCTGGCCTGAAACTGGCTCTCAGTGAAATGATAGCATATAAGTTCGTATCATCACGTTTAAATGTGTGTAAAGCTTGGGTCATTACTGAACCCGTTATTCTTATCTTTAGGGTAGTGCAGATCCTACTTTGTTATAATAAGCATGAAGGAAAGATAATTCAAAGAACTAGCTCAAAGCCAGCAAACTGGCGAGAAGTCATGAACAAACGTTGAGTTCAAGAATAGTGTCACGACAGTTTTCTGCGTGTTTTTTTTTTTGTTGAAACTCATCGGGCTTCGAACAATTAACGCAGTAATTAGTTCGACTGTTCCATTTGCAACGAAAATTGTCAAGTAACAAACAGAAATAAGTTAAAGTAGAAAACAACATTACTTTAATAATTAAAAAGTGTAATATCAATATCTTGCAAAAACCCTTAGTTGGAAAGTTCAACATATTGAACTAATCTTTTGTATTGAGTGCCAGTAAACTATGGAGTATGCTTTTATTAATAGAAATATATAGTTTTGTAGAGAATTGAAAGGCGAATCTTTTGGTAAAGAAAAATCAATTTCGAAATACTGAGGACTAGATGAGATATTGGCAAAACACAGACACCGCCATTTATTCTGGGCCACGCGTTAGAAGTATTGATCAATGGTTACTTTTTTTTCGATATTTATTATTCAGTTAATCGTACGTGTTTAGGATTTTGGAAACTATTTAAAAAATATACTCTCTAATCCACTTTGGTATACTAATGAATGAATAATTAAAAAAAAACTGTAACCGTAAATAAACACGATTTGTCATCCACATCATTTTAGAGTTAACATACACATCGATAAAAACACATCAAATAAGATCATGAAAAATGTCTATTTACTCGTATCAATAAGAAATAAATCGAATCAACATTAAACATCGTATAAGATAAAGAGTGTACCAATTGAATTTAAAAGCAACAGAAATTCAACTTTCAGCTTTGTTTTAGCGTAATTATTAATGAATTCAGTTTGGAACAAGATTCATTTCAGTAAATAGAATTTATAAGCAAGTCAAGAAAATTTTTACAGTTTATTCGTGAAGCAATTATTAATTAAATTACTGTTGGACAGTCATGTATTCGTAATAATAGAAGTCCTTTTCCATCTATATCAAACACTTTTTTCACTTGTCTTTAGAATACAATCTGAAAAACTAAATATCGATTATCAATTTGTTGTAGTTTAACAAGTTCAAATCAGCAGACACTTCAATCTTGAACTTTTGCTTCTTAAATTATTTGAAAAAAAAATTGATCATATCAAAAAGTTAACCAAACCCGATTTTTATTTATTTATGATTTCTTACAGACATTTAATAAACATACGTCCTTCCCTGAAGGTGATGGTGCTACGGAAATCTTTATCGCATACACTTTAGCATGCATCTCTCTGCTGAGAGTGCTCAGAAATCGTGATTTCACATGAAAAACAAATTCAGGAAGGAACTTGTTTTTCATGTAGAATCACGATTTTCGAGCATCCTCAGCAGAGAGATATGTGTGTGATAAAGATTTCCGTCGCACCCTCAATAAGAGAGACGTGTGTGTATATGTATAGCGATGCAAAATCTCGAAAAGTTCGAGTCAAAAATATCAATTCAAACGAATTTTTCCTTACAGAGATTTTTTTCCCAGTTTGAAAAACTTCCTCAGAATGTGTTTTCCAATTGTTAAAACCTACTTTACAATGATTTTAGCTTTTCGGAAGAAATTTTCTGAAGATCGCTTATTACTACCGAAGAACTTCGACTTTTTTTCAAATTTTTAATCGAAATTTCTCATACATTACAACGGGAGCACAAAAAATTAAGTAAATCAAATGCCTCGATACTCAATGAGCACTATATCCTCGGTCCCAAATGAAAAATTCACAGATTTTCATCCAAATTCTATCAATTTCATGCAGCAATGAATCTGTTTTTTCATGTGAAATCACAATTTCCGAGTACCTTCAGCAGAGATATATGTGCTGATACGTGTGTGATAAAGATTGCTGTGGTATCCTCACCGTTCACCCTAAATAGAAGTTGACAGTAGTCAAAAAATAAAACATTAGACGTTACATTGATATAGAATGATATGACATATTCAGCTGCTGATGTAATCTTTGAAGGATCCTGATTATATCCATCAAGAATCTCGCAGTGAAGTATCAAAAATTCTCTTTAGGGATAGAGATTTTCATAAAAAGAAAAATAGACATATGCATGATAATGCATGCACTAATATAGCATGGATAGTTTTTGCGACGCACCGATATAAACCATTGATGTTACCTTTTCGCTTGAAATCGTTGTTTTTCTTGTATTTCTTTTTATTAAAAATTCAAAGTATTGTACAACCAAGTGTTGCACAACATCCGTCACACTCCGTACAGTATGTATTTATTTCATTACAACAGCCTTCTCTTTGTACACGACAGTCAATACATACATATCGACCGCAACTACAACATCTATCGACAGCCGATACATTTGTATGCAACCCACATCGAGGAGCCTTAAGAAATAAAACGTACAAAAAATGAGTGGTCTACTATAATTGACTCACCACTAGAGGAGATTCAACCGGGGATCGATAGTTTGTTCCTATTGGTCGTATTGTATTCTGATGTGATGGAGACGGTTTTAATTTTAAAATTTGTATACGACTATATAAAAGAATTCTTTTTTGCTTGAATATTGCCGCAAACATGTAACTTACTGTCCGGCTTTCTCGATACCCATCGATCGAAGAATATCATCGTTCAAATCAGATATCATATTGACGTTGATTTCATTGTTGACAAATATTGATGCATATTCTTTAGCTGTATTTTCATTAAATTTAAGTTCAATAAATTTCTTATACCATATTTTCCTAGTAAGAATGATAAATATATATCCTGTGAGAAATCATACTGTTTTTACCAGTTGGGATTGTTGAATACAGTATTATTTTCTACTTGAGAGTATGATGGTGGTGACACATCTGAGGAATCCATGGTTAGAGCTATCTTGAAAAATTCGAAATGAACTTAGAAAGATATTTATAAAAGAGAAAAATGATTATCAACGCACGCTTTATATCAGTATAGGTGTATTACGCAGAAAGAACTGATGTCAGAATGACGTGATAAGAAAAAAAGCAAAAGATAGATATCAATGATGAATCAACCGAACAAATTGCGCTATATAATAGAGTTACATGCTTGTAAAAGTGTCTTCACATTCACAAAATGCAAGAAAGATGTAATTCTTTTGAGAAGTAAAAAATAAAAGTACAAGTATTCATAGATGTACCTGGTACTTGTACTTAAGGCCACCCCCTCAAAAAATGTCAATTTTCGTCGAAAATTTCGAAATTGAGATAAATGCATGGGATGATAGCCCGTCTTCTACTCTTTCAGAAACGACATTGTTTTTTCTTCGGCACTTCGTTTTTGGCCAAAATTTTCGATAATTTTCGTTAGCCTCTTCTCGAAAAATCGTTTTCGTTTTTTCCTCGGTTTATGATTTTTTGATCTTCTGACAAGGAATTCTCGGTCCAGGCTCTATCAATGTATTTAAATTTTTTTTGTTTGAAAGAGCGCGTCGAGATGAAGGGCACCACGGTGTCCTTTTTTTTTTTAATTAAGCTTTGTTTTTTATTATATATACAGACATTTATGTAACTAGACATCCATTTTTGGCATATTTTAAGAGTCATTAAGTTTGTGATCCCCTGTCTTCGCTAAAAAAGTAAGAATTTAAAAAAAGGACTCTGTGGTGCCCTGCATCCTGAGATGCTCTTTCAAACAAAAAAAAAATAAACATATTGATAGAGCCTAGACCGAGAAATCCTTGTCTGAAAATGAGCTATTTGTGACCCTTGTTTGGTTCATATCTTTGTCAAACGTCATAGTATCGAGCTGAGAATTTTACCATAACCTCTCCACTACAGCCCCAAGATATGCTCCAAATTTCAGCCCATTTGAATGTACCTGGATTGAGATCGGTTTTTGAGTAAGTGGGGGCCTTAAACATTTTCTGAATAACAAATATTGCAACAGTTGTGCTAAACTCTTCTATTGATAATATTTACTTCGACATTTATCAGTATAAAGAAACGAATCAGCGTCTATCATTTCCATTTTTTGAGCAGTGTGTGAAGTATTATCATTACGGAATAACGTATATAACCGAATATCTGTTTTTTCCGCAACGCATAGATATACTACTTGCTTTGCGAAAAAATCACGTGTTACCTTTAGACCCTCTCACTGATTAGTAAGAAAAATACCGCAACGAATTATCATGTACATTACTCGTTTCATATATGCATTACTTGTCATAAAATATAATGCAAATTAGATTCCGTCCTTATTCTTTTGTTCTGAAAATGCGTCTTTCCAGATACGAGATTATTGAGTTAGTAATGATGACAGTGTATTCTATTTTTAGATGTCTTTTTCATTGTACAGTTGGTTGTAATAAGTGAATTTTGTAGTAACCAAAAGAGCTTTTAATGGTAAAAACAACGGTGATGCTTGCTCTTGTCGTTAAAAAGATTGAAGACTCACACTAACCATGCTTAATAGTCTAAAGATGGTTTTTCGAGATATTGCAGAGTGGTATGAGAACCATGTTTTGACTACAAAGTCGTAAAGACGAAAACAAAAGATTTAATATTTATCGGAGTGCTAGAGGACCACATCGCCTACTAGGTGAAGTAAAAAAAAGAAAGCATCTTTTTTTTTCGTTCTGTCTATATAAATAACGTAGTCTTTCATTTGATATGAGATGGTAGGAGTAGCGATTAAAAAGTCTTATAAAATCTTTTCAGTTAGAAATTCAATAAAATACTTAACAAAAATTGCATTTTTTTACTTAATTCTTATTAAAAATGACTTTGCATTTAAATGGATGTTTTTTTTAAATATAATGTTATACTATAGTATTTGAGAATATTAATATTTTTCTCGATGACTGTAGCCGCAAATTCCATCTGTTTTTTTTTGTTTCCTCGAAAAGTTTTATCTTGGTTTTTTTTTCTTTGTTGAAGGCAAGTAACGGGTGATGTAAAAGTTTTGCATTAGTTTTATTTTCATTCTCATACGGCCTGCAGATCATCGTAGTGCTTTTCTTTTCTCTTATTTTTTTTTTTGCATCCAGAAGAAAAATAAAAACTCTACGATGTTTGTACACAGCACGAGAATGAACATCAAAGTAATGCAAAGCTTTCACATTACTTGGTAATTTGCAGCTTCTTCTTCCGAAGCTTGTTATTTGATTGTTCGTTACTTGTAGCAGTTATCTAAATCAACACAAAAGCACAAGAAATTTACGACACACGACACATCGAGATTAACTTACAAGATAAGACACAATTTCAACACATATATCTTTTATCAAAAGTCGCTTTATAACATACAAAAAAAATTTTGATATCGAACAACGTTACTCCATCTCTGGACACATTGCCTGCCGAATTATTCTACTATATATTAGATAACCTCGATGAATTAACCATTCTTCTATCACTTCGCAATGTCTGCACACGAATAAACGCTATCACCGATACCTATCATCGATATCAGGTGAAGTTTAGTTTTATTTTCAAGTCAAATATATACCTCTTCGACGGCGCATTATCCATTTCAGTAATGAGTTACATTTGTCAATTCTATTTTTTGCTCAGTTTAGAGACGGGTCGAATAAAAAAAGCATATTCTACTTGATTTTATAATACCTAAGGATGATACTTCGTGAAGCATTGACAACCATTTATGAAACTGACGTAGCTCTTCATTGCTAATTCATTTGAACAAAGACAAATTCATTTACAGTTATCTATATGTGAGCTTTTCATAGATGATAAAAGTTTAACGACAGTGTCAAGCTTAAGGGTACGCACATCTATACCTAACCTTGAATACATACACATTTATTGTTTTTGAAAATGCGAAAAATTTGGTGATGTATGGGTTGTAGAATCCTCGTGCGTGAACTTTTCAAATCGAAACTCGACACTATTCGACGAAGTTAAACCTGAATCCAGTCTTGAGTTAGATCGAACAGAGATGTGGAACTCTGACATACGCCATCCATTCTGATATGTCCATCAGAAAAACGATGTGCAAGATATAGCATCATATTTAAATTTCGAGTTTTGTTATTAAGTATACGATTTATCCGAAAAATCATCATTATCTGTCTCATGTTCGTTATTTTTTTTCCTGTATATTCTTGCTATTTGCTACCATTAATTATTGGTGCATACCTTTCTCGATGGACGTGTTGATCAAGTCTTCGTCAGAGATATTACTTCTCTCGATTCGATTGTCATTGTCAGAAAATATTATATGTATCTCATAGAGATCATCTGCCATAAAAGACTGCGGAATTAATTCAAATTTTTCTGTTGAAGTTCTTTTGTTTATTGATGAATGTGCTGCATAAAAGCACTACAATTGCAGAAAATCTTATTCAAATCAAGTTGTGTCTAAAATAAAGTCTTGGGATGTACGATTTCGACTTAAGTACACAAGCTTTAGCAGTATATTTTCTTTATAGAGGATATTAGTCGAAGAGGTTGGCGAAAAGTATACTAAGAATCTTTGTTAGTACGAGAACATCATTCTACGAAGAATATAGCTGAAGAGATTTTCTTATTTAAAACCTTCGATTTCTATTTGAAAATTCGTATAGAGAATTACCGTACTAGATTGGTCACGATGTCGATTGAACGATGGTACATTACAACAATTGTCTCATGCATTACAGAGAAATATGGTAAGACATGGTTTTGTTTTTATGAATATATATGCATTGTTCTCATTCAATATAGACACTCAATAATCTGAATCTTTCGTATAACAGAATTGGTCCAAGAGGGGCATCACATTTGGTTCTGGCATTACAAAGAAATACAGTGAGACAAGATCTCTTCTTGTTGATCACCTATAGATGATTCTTATTTCATACAGGCGCTTCTCACACTGGATCTTGACTGGAACCATATTGGTGATGAAGGATTACGATCTTTGGCTCATCAAGAGGAAAACCGATTACGACCTTTAGCGCACCAAGAGGAAAATGGTGGATTTTCGAGTTTTCGAATCCTAGAAAATATAACAAGAATCCTTGAAAACTTCGGCGTATGGTGGAATTCCTGGAAATTGGTGCAAATTCCGATAGTACAATGGAGATCATGGAGGTTTGCTGGAAATACAACAAGAATCCTAGGAGTACGTCATATAGATAAGATGTATGAAATAGAATGGAAATATGAATCTTTTCTATATATAAAAACAGCCATATCATTCGTTTAAAGCTTCAAAACACTTTTCGTTAAGAAAACACATCGATCTTTAAAAAAAAACGATATTAACGTAATATCCTGACATGTGAAAAAAAAGGTCATATAATCAAAAACTTGGTCATAAACTTCACAAATTATTTAAGTCTCTAGTATTAATAGTATAAGTAAAATGAAATCTTGAATGAAAGGTGAGCTGGCTATAAAACAGTAAGGTATATACAGTACTGGCCAAAAGTATCCCCGAACTGGAATTCTCACTTCAATAAGGGCTGTAGATCTGAAAACTTGTATGTACATAGTTCTTGATGAATGTAGGTCAGCAGCACAACCCGCACCCCAATTGCATGAAGTAAAAGAGAGTTATAATCCAAGTTGTCTGTCACCCTTATAGACTTCATAACTTGCGAACAACAAGATATACAGAGTCGCGGAGCCCCTCATTCTATAGCTCCGTATTATAGCTATCTATGATAAAATTTTCATTGAAATTTATCGAGCCGTTGTGAAGCTAGAGCCATTCTACTGTAAGTATCCATGTGAAGAAAAGCTGTCCAATCTCATTGTATACTTCATTGTTTAGGGAAAGTTTGACGCATCGACTTGAAATTTATAGGAAATGTTCTTCCATAGGTGCCCATTCTCCTCTAAAATTTTCAGAAACATATCACTTACTAGAGAGAAATGGTGCTATGGTAAATATGG